TTTTTTTTTTTCACAATTTTGTTTTTTCTTAAAAAAAATATTTTAATTAATATTACTGTCTTGGCTGCTAAATTAATGTCTCCGGCAGTTATTTAACTATCGGAGACAGTAATTTAACTGTTAATTGACTCTTTTGTTTTTTTTTTTTCTTCAAAAATATTTTAATTAATATTACTGTATTCGTTGCTAAATTACTGTCTCCAGCAGTTATTTAACTGTCGGAGACAGTAATTTAACTGTTAATTGAATTTTTTATTCTTAAAAAAAATATTTTTAATTAATATTACTGTATTCGTTGTTAAATTACTATCTCCGGCAGTTATTTAACTGTCGGAGACAGTAATTTAACTGTTAATTGACTTTTTTTTTTTTCTTCAAAAAAATTATTTTAATTAATATTACTGCCTTGGATGTTAAATTACTGTCTCCAACAGCAATTTCACTGTCTTAGACAATAATATTAATAAGGGCAAATGGCAAAAAGGCCCATCACATGGGACTTAAATACATTTTAGTCCACAAGAAAAACAGTCTATCAATTAAGCCCATCCCCATGTCTTTAGTCAAAAATACCCTCAATAATATAATTCTTATCAATTCCACCCATTATGCTCTAACTTCCTTAATATTACACATTGACCCCGAATTTAAACAAAAATATCACATTAACCCCCAAAACTTTTTTTTTCAGAAAATAAATTTTTTTCGTAAATGTTTTTTTTACGGCCAGATTCCGGCCAGCTTCCGGCGTTGACCGCCGGTTTCCGGCGTTGACTTTCTTTTTTTTTTTTTTTTTTTTTTTTTTTTGAAACATTTTTTTTTCCTGAAATTTTTTTCCGGCCGGTCAACCACCGTTGACCGCCGGTCTCCGGCATTGACTTTTTTTTTTTTTTTGAATTGTTTTTCTTAGAAAAAAAATATTTTAATTAATATTATTGTCTTGGCTACTAAATTACTGTCTCAGACAGTAATATTACTGTTTGGGACAGTAACATTATGAATATTATTTTCTAAGACAGTTAAGTTACTGTTAGAGACAGTAATTTAACATCCAAGACAGTAATATTTAAAATAATTTTTTTAAGGAAAAAAAAAATCAATTAACAGTTAAGTTACTGTCTCCGACAGTTAAATAACTGCCGGAGACAGTAATTTAGCAACGAATACAGTAATATTAATTAAAAATATTTTTTGTAAGAATAAAAAAGTCAATTAACAGTTAAATTACTGTCCCCGACAGTTAAATAACTGTTGGAGACAGTAATTTAGCAACGAATACAGTAATATTAATTAAAATATTTTTGAAGAAAAAAAAAATCAATTAACAGCTAAATGACTGTCTCCGGCAGTTAAATAACTGCCGGAGACAGTAATTTAGCAGCCAAGATAGTAATATTAATTAAAAAAAAAAAATTAAGAAAAAACAAAATTATAAAAAAAAAAAGTCAACACCGGAATCTGGCCGGAAAAAAAAACATTTCAAAAAAAAATATATTTTCTGAAAAAAAAAATTTGGGGGTTAATGTGATATATTTGTTTAAATCCGGGGTCAATGTGTAATATTAAGGAAGTTAGAGCATAATTGGTGGAATTGATAAGAATTAGGGTTAAAATTGGGGTCAAAATTTAAATTAGGGTTAAAATTGGTTAATTGATGAAATTGGGCTAAATTGGGGTGTAAATCATGAAATTGGAGTTGAATTGGGTTTCAACGAATTAGGGGTAATTTTGGTATATATAAAAGGATTTTCCTTATTTGCAAATAAGTTTGAATGGGGTGGATTTATTTTAAAAGGATTCATAATATTACTGTCCCAAACAGTAATATTACTGTCTGAGACAGTAATTTAGTAGCCAAAACAGTAATATTAATTAAAATATTTTTTTTCTAAGAAAAACAATTCAAAAAAAAAAAAAAAAGTCAACGCCGGAGACTGGCGGTCAACGGTGGTTGACCGGCCGGAAAAAAATTTCAGGAAAAAAAAAGTTTCAAAAAAAAAAAAAAAGTCAAAGCCGGAATCTGGCCGGAAAAAAAACATTTTAGAAAAAAAATTATTTTCTGAAAAAAAAAAATTTTGGGGGTTAATGTGATATATTTGTTAAATTCGGGGTCAATGTGTAATATTAAGGAAGTTAGAGTATAATGGGTGAAATTGATAAGAATTATATTATTGAGGGTATTTTAAACTAAAGACATGGGGATGGGCTTAATTGAGAGATTGTTTTTTTTTTGTGGACCAAAATACATTTAAGTCCCATGTGATGGGCCTTTTTGCCATTTGCCCTATTTTATGATAAGGACGGGGGATAAGATTGGTGGTGGGATTGGGGTTCGTATTGGTGGTGATGGTTGGCTGGATAGTGGCCGGCGTTTTTGGGTGCAGCTGTTTGCAGTGGTGAAGTTGGTGTTGCTGACAGTTGGTGGTGGTGGTGTGGTGGGTTGGGGAAATTGCAGTAAAGTCCTTAAATTAAGTTTCGATTAGAAATTTAACATAAATTATAATTTGGGCTCTACTTTTTATTTTTCTACATTATTCTAATTTAAATTATTTTATTGGAGGGTATATTTGGCATTTTACATTCGGTCAATGAAAAAAATCACTATGAGTCGATTGTGTTATTTAAAAAAAACCGCATGGGGATTTTTGCTAATTTTTTTTTTCTTTTTTTTTTTTTAATTTTTTTATCACATAGAGGTTTCTACTAGTTTGAGATTACACAAATGTACTTTGTGCAATTTACGCTATATAAGGGTAATTATCCTGATGATACAAACACCGTAAAACTTGTTACGAGACCCAATACTTTACGCAGAAGCAAAAACACGGAACTTCCAAAATAAAAGATTAAGTTGGCGGAAGCAATGAATAATGACCCCATAGCTATAAAGAGCTAGAAATCATTATTATCAAGGTTAAATATAATATTCACTCCGTGGTTATAAAGAACCAAAAACCCATATTATATTTCACCTTGTACGACGTTACCCAACTAAAGGAACTACGCAAAGTCGGCCGGTTCGGGAATCACATGTACGACGTGATGTTCACCAACTTGATAATAATGGTTTATAGCTCTTTATAGCTATGGGCGAGGTCATTATTGCTTGCTTCCGCCAATCTAAATCCTTTGTTTTGGTCGTTCCGTGTTTTTTCTTCCGCGTAAAGTATTGAGTTTCGTAACAAGTTTTATGGGGTTCGTATCACCTGAGATATGTTAAAATAACTTTAAGTTCCCCGTGGTCTTGGTAATCACAACCACACCCCTATAACAAGTACTGGAGGCAGGATTTCATGTCATGGGACATATAAGCACTATATTTATTTCCCGCGGGGAATGTTAATGCTACCATAGACGAAAATTTATAAATCTTACATAAAATATATAACAAGGATTTAAGAAATGATATAAGTAGAGTCATGTCACCCCCTAGCTCTATGTTGTTCCAACCACTGTCTAAAACTAACAGTCCGTTAGAACCCTAACGGAATAATTTATTCAATGCATTATTCCATTAGGATTTCTAACAATGTTGCAGGAGAGATTGTAATTACCTATACTACAGAAACTTAAATGTATTTTAGCATACCTCAGAGGTAAGTGTAATTTACCATAATTATAATGTTTGAGGGGCTATTTTTAAGATCCCTATTATAAAAAGGTTACATATATCGGTTTGCACACAATTATATCGTACGTAGTGCAAATCTTGAACACAAATATATCCGATCCCCTTCTCTCTTAATCGCACTAACTATGGGTTATCTCCTTGTGTTTCCATCCCTACCCATTCTTGTCTCCCTTTTCATCATATCAATCTCAATTTGCTTCTTCAAACTGATCCTCAGTAACAAAAAGTCAACGACGACTGGTCAAAAACTGCCACCTGGGCCATGGAAATTGCCTTTGATAGGAAACATGCACAGTCTTCTCGGCTCAGTGCCCCATCGTGCTCTACAAGCATTGTCCCTCAAATTCGGTCCAGTGATGCACCTTCAGCTGGGTGAACTCTCCGCGGTCATCATCTCGTCCCCCGAAGCTGCGAAGCAGGTGATGAAAACCCACGATATCAACTTTGCATCGAGGCCGTCAATTATAGTACCCGAGATTCTGAGTTATAACTGCACAAGCATCAGCTTTTCACCGTACGGGGATCACTGGAGACAGCTAAGGAAAATATGCACGTCGGAGCTGTTGACCGCGAAACGCGTTCAATCTTTCCGGTCAATAAGAGAGGAAGTGTTTCTAGATCTTGCCACGTGGCTGGCTGCTGCTGCAAATAATTATAAGGATGTCAATTTGACCGAGAAACTCTTCTCTTCCTCGTACGCTCTCATTTCTAGAACGACTCTTGGTAAGAAAACCGAGGTTAAAGAGAGATTACTGCCCATAATTAAACAGGCTTTTGTTTTAGCGGCCGGATTTAACATTGCCGATCGGTTAAACTAGTTCAAATGATGAGTGGGTTGAGAAGGAAGGTGAAGAAGTTGCATCAACAAGCAGATAAGATATTTGATGAAATCATCAATGAGCATAAACTAGCAGCAGCCATTAATAATGATGAGGAGAGAGAGAAACAACAAGATCTCACTACAACAAAAATATCTTATTAGGACACAAAAAATTGCCCTAATAGATATCATTTTGAGGCATTTATACTTTTAGAGGCAATTAAAATATATGTCGCGTAGTTGTGTGTCGCAATAGCTCATGGGACATTTATTATATGCCCCAATAGAACTTTTTTCTCGAGATACTTTTATGTGTCCCTATAAGCTGATATTGAGGCACATACATATGCCTTCTAAAAATATCATCGTTGGTGAAAAAAAACCTTTTAAGGACACTTATTAAAAGATGGAGACATCTATATATGTCTCTAAAAATCATACGAGGATACTTTTAAATGTCATTTCGACGTCTTCAGGGGACACTTGATTTTATGATAATAAATTTAATTACACTTATAAGTATCTTAATTAATATAATAGATAAGAATAACTATCAATCCCAATTATCCTACTGCAACATTTACATTTAGAAATACATAGAAAAATGAATTGAATACAACAGTTGAACATAAACATGATCAATCAATAATCATGAAAATTTCATCAACATTTGATCAGTAAATTCAACAAGTACTATTACAATCTTGTAAAACAAAACAACTAAGATCTAACCATGACTTATGAAAATAAAACAAGAATAGCTCCTTCTAAACTGCATCATGCAACATAATGAAACTCATCTTTCGAAACGACCTGCATGTTACAAAGAATACAGTAATCAGCTGCAAGTAAAAACATAGAACGAAAATTAAATTTGGGTTAAGAGAGAATACTTAACTGCTAAAAGGATGATGACGCTCTTGAGCTCGATAAGCAGAAAACGATAACAAGTTGTAGAAGACTAAGGGGAAACCATATAATTGGTAAGGGCTAACCAACTGGTTTTCATTTACTAAAAAAACCAAACAACTCAAGGACTATAATTGCTGAAATGTTAAGTCAAAGCATCTCATATGATTACAAATACACTCAATATAATCAGAAGTGCAATTTAACATACACACTCTAGATTTGTCTAAACAGGCTCTTGGAGTTTGCTTTATTACAGAGAAACTTTTGAGCCCTTACCATACTTTGTAGGCCAATCTTTACACTATTTCAGACGACTAAATTTTGTTATTTATAAATTTATATTACTAATTCAAACACCTCTAAATTGAAGGAATTAATACTGAATTTAAATTAATGTAGAATAGAAAAGGCATAGAGTGTACTATGAGGATTCCAAAGAATAACAATGAAATAGCAACAAGAATGGTCCGCTATCACCTCTATTGGAACTAGATCAAGCTAACCTTATATCGTTTCACTAGCGTATCATTCATATGCCACATAGATACATACACCTCATGCAATCCAGCAATGAAACTAGTAAATATATGATTGCAATTTAATGACCAATGTTTAGTAAATACAAAGCCTATAAAGATCATTCAATAAAAAGAGTTGTAAATACAAAGCCTATAAAGATCATTCAATAAAAAATGTTTGCAATGATCAATCAGATTTACTATTGCTAACAATCAATTCAAAAGCAAGAAGTAATATACGTATGTACAAACACTCATAATGAATGAACAATCTAGTTGTGTAGATTATCTTCTAAGAGGAGCAAAACCTGAAACTAATGGCATGATCTGATATGTATTTAGTAAAATTTGTCCCAAAATATAAATAATATGCACTCGACAAATTTATGGCGTTAGTGATAAAAACAATTGTCAAAAAATTTACCTAAGAAGTTGAAAATTAAAATTCATTAATCAATCAAGAGTGAAAGGGAATGACCATAACTTATTTTTCTCCCAGTATGTATTATCAGATTTTACTTTGTACCATAGTTGTTTAGCAAATACAAAGACAAGAAGAAGTGAAAGGGCATTTGCCAATGCCACATATGAAAAGACCTTCAAGATCTTTGTGCAGAAGTCCAGGGCAATTAAAATTGAATAGTATACAACTTCCTAGTTTACATTAAATTTAGTATTTTGAATTTTTATATCAGACAAACACAAATATGGTTTTAGTATTATAAAAGTAGGGGTTAGGGCTTGAATACAGTTAATTAGATGAGAACTTTTCATACAAATTAAGAATATTAAAGAGAAGAAAGAATGGAAATTACCTTCTTCTTAAAATTGAGAACTCTTCGTTGCGTTTGTACTGGGTTCTCAATTTGAACGTGCCCTGATGAAGAAAGAGGGGAAAATGAAAACAAATCTCAACGGAAAACTCTTCTTCTTCTTTGTTGGACAACTCTTCTTCTTCTTTGTTGTACGACTCTTCTTTTTCTTCTTCGCCGCAGAATTCTTCTTCTTCTTCGGCGGATCGGATATCTCTATTCTTCTTCGTCGGATGACTTCGATCTGCTGCGTTTGGAATAAAATAATTAGGGCGTTTTACAGAGTTCTTAAAAGGGAAAATTTAGTTTGGCTAAAGGAAAAAAATATAAAAAATAAATAAAGAACCGCCACACATTAATATAGTCTTACCTTTATCTTTGAGGCACAAAAAAAAAATGTCTCTAAATTGTAAATGAAAATGCCCCTACAAATTTAATAAATAGGATATATTATCAAATGTCCTAAAAGATCAGATTTGAGACATATATAAAACAATGTCCCTAACAAAGTGTCGTAATATCCATATTTTGTTGTAGTGTCTGGTAGATGTTCTTCTCAGTTTTCAGCATGATGGGCTTGACCTTTGGTTGACTGATGACACCATCAAAGCTGTAATCCTGGTTAGTTTTCTTTCTTGCCAGTAATTACTTTGTCGGTCGGGTTAACAGCATAAAACCCCTCGTGTTAAAGAAAACCTGCGCCAAATTCTTCTGTGTTGCGTAGAACCCGCTTGTATTTTATTTTACTTCGTACGAAATCCCATTTTCTGTTAAAAAGTTAACTCCATTAACTATAGAGGGGATTTTACGCATTTATTCATAACAAATGGGGATTTAGTGCATATTTTCTACGATAGGGATTTATGCAAAACTTAATTTATTTGTTGGAATTTCATATTTTCCTGAAATTAAGTTGAATACATTTATTTAGTTACAATATGAAAAATAAAAGAGATTAAATTATGAGCGGATCAGCCGAAATTTAATATAAATCGGATTTCAATAATTTTTTGACACTTGACATTCTTAAGTCTTAACTCTTAATAAATCACCCTGATTATAATTAGGGTTAGAGGGGTTACGAGTTCTGCTGGAGTTTTCTTTTTTTTCTTTCCAATTAGTAGAATTCTAATTATATTTTTATTTAAAATATCCACCTGTCAATCATTCTATGGCATCCAATTTTTCTATTAAAATAGTCCATCCGGTCTAAATTTGCACCCAAAATAAAAATTTAATAGGTGTTGTGAATGTTTAATAAATAAAATATAACATTAAAAGGAGAAAAAAAAAAAGGTTCATTGAATTCATAAATAATAAAATAATAAATAAAATAAATAATAAAATAAAATATAACATTAAGGGGAAAAAAAGTTCATGCATTAATTAAATTAAGTCGTATATATAATTTGATTTGATGATATTTACTTATTAGGATATGTTGGGTGGAAATGGGACGCCACCAACTACATTAGATTGGGCAATGGCAGAAATGATGAGAAATCCAAGAATCATGAAGAAGGCACAAGACGAAGTTAGACGAGTTTTTGACGATAAATTAGGATACGTTGACGAATCAAACATTGATGAACTCAAGTATTTGAAGTCAATCATCAAGGAGGCTCTGAGGTTGCATCCACCAGTGCCTCTACTACTTCCAAGAAAATGCACGAAGAAATGCGAGATCGACGGATACGAAATACCGGTGGACACCAAAATCATCGTCAACGCGTGGGCTATTAGCAGAGATCCCAAATATTGGGAAAACCCTGATTGTTTTGAACCGGAAAGATTTCTTGATGATTTGGTGCAGGTTGATTACAAGGGCAATCATTTCGAGTATATCCCGTTTGGTGCGGGAAGGAGAATATGCCCCGCCATCTCACTTGGTATCGCGAATGTGGAGCTACCACTGGCTATGCTTCTCTACCATTTTGATTGGATGTTGCCTCATGGAATGAAACATAATGAAATGGATATGACCGAAGAATTTGGGGCCTCCGCGAAGAGGGCAAAAGATTTATACGTGGTTCCAGTTATTAAACGACCTCTGCTGCCAGTGCCACCTTTCAAATGATCGATATATTAATGAAAATAAAATCCTTCCCTTACCTCCCCCGCCCTTGCCCCTACCGTCTCCCATCACCGGCAACCAAATAAATGGTGAAAACCTAAAACCACCCTTATAACTATGATAACATCAATAGTTAAAGTCAAACATTAAATTAACGTTATTTCTCCACATGTCATGTAATAAGTGGAATATGTATTACACGACTCATTAAATGGACCGCCCCATTTAGATTTTAATTCTTAATAACTACTCAAATGTCACGTGTCTACAATAATAGAGATAGTATAGGGCACGTAATCTTCTAATCTCGTACTAAGATGGTGTTTGCAAAAACTTATTTAAAGGTACAAGTTAGTGATTGTGAGTTAATTTGAAATTAAGTGATTATTTCCAAAATGGGAAAAACAGGTATACTAGGTACTTTTAAAATTATAACTTATGGCAGCTTATTTTAAGAGAAGCAAAAGCAATAGCTTCTTTTGCAAACACCTAAAAAACAAATTATATGCAGAAAAAAAACTCATAATTTATTTCTAAAAACATCACCTATGTTATCTAAACAACAGTAGCATCTAGTATAGGAATTTATTATTTTTCAAGTATTTTATAACAATAGTTTGGTACCGCCGCAAGCTAATTGTTTGGTAAATGTTTTGGAAAGCAACGTTACCAATACATTATTAATAAGGGTAAATCACAAAAAAACCCATGACAAGGGCACTTAATTAGAAGAGGGACATCCAACTTTTTTGTCTTTCAAATAAATCAAACTCATTCAAACTTATTTGCAAATAAGGAAAATCATTTTATATATACAAAAATTACCTCCAATTCATTGAAACCCAATTGAACTCCGATTTCATGATTTACACCCCAATTTAGCCAAATTTCATCAATTAACCAATTTTAACCATAATTTCAATTTTGACCCCAATTTTGACCCGCCACCACCGGACACCGCTGGTCTCCGGCGTTGACTTTTTTTTTTTTTTTTTTTGAAAAACTTTTTTTCTTTGAAATTTTTTTCCGGCCGGTCAACTGCCGTTGACCGCCGGGTCTCCGGCGTTGACCTTTTTTTTTTTTTTTGTATAATTTTGTTTTTTTCTTGAAACAAATATTTTAATTAATATTATTGTCTTGACTGCTAAATTACTGTCTCCGGCAGTTATTTAACTGTAAATTGACTTTTTTTTTTCTTCAAAAATATTTTAATTAATATTACTGTATTCGTTGCTAAATTACTGTCTCCAGCAGTTATTTAACTGTCGGAGACAGTAATTTAACTGTTAATTGACTTTTATATTCTTAAAAAAAATATTTTTAATTAATATTACTGTATTCGTTGCTAAATTACTGTCTCCAGCAGTTATTTAACTGTCGGAGACAGTAATTTAACTGTTAATTGATTTTTTTTTTAAATATTTTAATTAATATTACTGTATTTGTTGCTAAATTACTGTCTCCAGCAGTTATTTAACTGTCGGATACAGTAATTTAACTGTTAATTGATTGTTTTTTTTTTTTTTTCTTTCTTAAAAATATAAATATTTTAATTAATATTACTGCCTTGGCTGCTAAATTACTGTATCCAACAGTAATTTAACTGTCTTAGACAATAACATTAATAATATTACTTTTGGGGAAAATAATATTCATAATATTACTGTCCCAAACAGTAATATTATTGTCTGAGACAGTAATTTAGTAGCCATAATTAAAATATTTTTTTCTAAGAAAAATAATTCAAAGAAAAAAAAAAGGTCAACGCCGGAAACTGGCGGTCTCCGCCGGTCAACGCCGGAATCTGCCCGGAACAAAAAAAATTCCGAAAAAAAATTATTTTCTGAAAAAAAAATATCTGCTAACTGTACACTAAACGCTTTGGAAAATAACGTTAACAAATACAATATTAAACAAACTATAGGCATATGGTCATATCTGCTATGAACTAATCAAACTATATATTTAAAATTTGTTAATATAGTTATTGATAATGTTTATATTACATGGTGTTGGAAAATTTACTTGCTTACATATGACATTTAACATAATTTCCATTGAGTTTACATGCAAGAGAATGTATTGTAGATCACAAAGCATTATAATAGAGCTATGTAGTATGGACACATAAATGGTGACACGGAAAAATGGGCACGGGAAAACGGCAAAATGTCCAAAAAAAAGGGGATAAGAAAACCTAGGGAAAACGTGAAAGTATAGGAATATATTTATAAATATGCTATATAAACATACATATACAAGTTTTTATTTATATATAATTTTGTTTAATATATTTTCATACAAATATATTCAAAATAAATATTATTAAAATCTATTAATTTGCACTTAATCATTAAATCATGTAAATAATTAAGGAAGTAACAACTATATTGGAAAATTAACTATTTAAAAATGTTTCGAACTTTTTAAAAATTACAAAATGGTCCATAAGGTGTGTGGAAGGTGTTATCGAGTGTTAGACACGAAATGTGTCCGAAACGCGAATACTTTAAGAAGTTGAAGTTTAGCTTATAGAGTATAACCTTGTCCAACCCAGTAGTTGTAGTAGTTACTTACTAAAAGTATAAATGAACATTGTTCTATAGCCTTGCCAAACTGGTAATTTGTAGTGCCGAAGTTTATAGATAGGTAATTTCTTCATATATTTGCCACGAGTCAGTAGTTAGGGATAATTAGCTGAAAGCTCCTTCTTCCTAATTTTAAAAGCAACTAGGTAGTATTTTTCCCGTATAGATGCGAAAGCTTAATAGAGAAGACCTTGAGCATATGCACAAATTAATGAAGTTTCATACTCCAGATAAATATCGATAAAAAAGAACTCCGGATAAATGGCAAAGAGAGACGTGCACGTATACACATGAACTTTAATCCGTTGAATATTGTATTGGTTAACGTTGTTTTCCATAGAGTACTTTACTATACAACCAACTACTTTATTCTTATTATTATTATTATTATTATTATTATTATTATTATTATTATTATTATTATTATTATTATTATTATTATTATTATTATTATTATTATTATTATTATTATTATTATTA